TGCAAACTCATCTACACACGGAAATGTGTTTGTAACTCCAAAATTTGTAACTCATGGCCCTTTTATGGTCATCTGAACACATGTGCTGCCCAAGTGAAGGAAAATTTTATTCTTCTAGAGCACAGACCAGCTGTGGTTGAACAAGAAGATGCTAGGCCTTCTAGTTTCAGCTTTCATACTGTAAAATTCCTTTTCATGGACTATTTCATACCATTTTTTAAATTTCTTGTGCGTATTATTGGTGATTTTACTAATTAACATGGCCCCCAAGAAGAATGCTAAACCTAAGAGGGCTTTGCTGTGCCCTGTGGAGAAAGTGTGTGTGTGTTAGATAAGCTTTGTTCAGACGTGAGTCCTGTGCTGTTGGCCGTGAATTCCATGTTCTGTTCAGGCCCTCAGTGGCCTGGATGAAGCTCACTGATGTTGCTGAGGGAGATCTTTACTCAATCTACAGATCCAATTGCCAGTCTCTTTCAAAAATACCCTCATGGACACACCTAGACCTAATGTTCCACCAGCTATCTGGGCATCCCTTAGCCCAGTCAAATTGACACATAAAATTAACCTTCACATTCAGTGTTCATGACACATGTTTGTTATATTTACATGTTTGTAAAACATAACCACAGTGAATAATAAGAACCAACCATATTCTACTTAATTCCTGTATTAGATAGGTTGAATATTAGTGACTATTTTTTTATGGATGCAAAGTCTAATCAATCATTTTAGCAAGTGGCTTTACAAAAGGTAAGACAGGGACCCAGACTCCGTCCACCTTGTGACTCTGCCAACACATAGGGCCTTTGCTTCTAGCCCCAATGGAAAGAGGAGAGGAAAGTTGTGGGCCCACTGTCTTTGTGAGCCTGCCTGGAAGTAGAGTACATCATTTCTGCCGTTATTCTACTGGTCAGAGCTCACTCGGTCACGTGGTCACGCTAACTTCAAGGGAGGCTGAGGATATAACCTAGCTGGGTCTGAGGAATTGCATGAGTAGTCACTACCACACCTCTGAAAACTACTTCCTGCAGTTATTCTTCTTTAGATAAACAGCAAAACTTGTAGGTAAGCGACCTTGAAGATTTCGTAGGTTGCTCTTCTAAAACCAGTGCTTCACCCATGGAAGTGGGTCCAGCTCCTTTCATATGCCTTGGTTTAAAAGTGAGCTCTTTATATAATGAGACCTCTCTGTAGTCTCTTGTTCTGTTAATACTTCAGTCAACCCTTTCATCCCCACTCTAAATTTTTGAGAATATTTTTGTCCAAGAATAAAAAAAATCATGTAAGACTATATACCCAGTGCCTTCTATTAAAAAAAAAAAAAGTTAAGGTACTAGTAGCAGATAACTTGTTTGTTCCACCTAAATTGGGCTTTATTGCATTTTCATTCAGCTTGTAAAATTCTCGCTGTGTCTGACCCTGTGTTATTGAGTGCATTAGATTGTATAATAAAATAACACAGATGCTGTCTGGAAGAAGTATCCACTCTCATTGAGATCTCTGCTCAATTTCACTAGGGTTTTTTGCTGTTAAATTGATGAATTTTCCCCTCCAATCTTTCTGCTCTTGCGTTTTTTTTTTTTTGGAGGGGTATTTTTTTTTTTGCTTTAGGGGGGGTGCACTCGCCAGACAGACAGAGACATAGAGACAGAAAGCAAGAAATCACCCCCCAGGGGGGATGGTCACGCCGCAATCCTTTCTCCATTCTCCTCTTGGGATCCTGGGCATGCACGCACACGTGCCCGGCGTGAGTTTTAAGCCACCGGGTCCAGGACGCGAACTGCAGTCGACTATGTGGGAGTCCAGTGACATAGCCATTTCGCCAACTGCTGGTTCCCTCTGCTCTTGTTTTAATATCAAAGAAAAAAGCAGTGACACAGGAATTATCTGGCCCCTTCTTTCAGGGGAGTACTGTATAAGAAAGGCGTGGTCTTCTCATGCACATCCTTGGAACGCTTAGGAGAACTGTCATGGCTCTTTCTCCAAAAGAGTTCACTAATACACATTTTATACCTCTTGTATTCTTTATACAATTTTAGGAGATTCTTAACCATGTTGAAAAGAGGTTGGTACCATCTGACCCAGCCATTCCACTTTTGCCCATCTGCCCAAAAGAATCAAACGCAAGGTCCTGCAGAGAAATGTGCACGTCAGTGTTCATAAGGACATTTTTCATAACACCCAGAGGAACGCAAGTGTTCATCAGCAGATGAATGCATAAACAAAGCACAGGGTATACACATAATGGAACAATCAGGAAGGAATTTCTAGTAAACATGAGTAAACACTGAAAACATGCTAAGTGAAAGAAGCCTAACTCAAACAGACAAATATTGTATGGTTCTATGTAAATGAGATACCTAGACTAAGCAAATTTAGAGTCAGGAAATAGAGTTGAGGTTACCTGGGCTAAAGATAATGATGATGATAATAATAATAATCGTAGGTTCTTATTTAATGGGCACAGAGTTCCTGCTGGGCATGAGGAAAGTGGTCTGGAGATTTACAGTAGCGATGGTCACACCGATTATGAATGCAGTTAATGGCGCTGGGTTGTACATGGAAAGATGATTGGGGCCAGCAGGGGTGTGGTGATTGAGGTGGCTAGATCCCACGTGGCAACTGCATGGTTCAAGTCCTGGAACTGGCAGCTTGAGGAACACACTAGACCTGAGTATGTGTGTGCCCAAAATCTAGAAGAGGGAGAGATGCTGGAGAAGAGATTGAAGTGTGACCATTCCCTACAATGGGTGATTTCTCACTTTTTTCCCTCTCTTTGTCTACAGTGAGTGCAGGTGCTTGCTGGCAAATTTTTTTAAATGATTGAAATGATAAATTTCACATTATTTTTATTTTACTATAAAATCACACTGGGAAGAGACTGGACTTTAATGCCTTTAAGCCTGGGCTTTAGTCCCGGGTTCTCTAGCTACTAGGTGAGTGTGACTTCGGGCAAAAGACTGTCTCTGAACATCGTTTTCCATAAAAATGAAGATAATGCTACTGACCTCAGAGGATTGTTGTGGAAATTAATCTGGTAGCCTCAGCTGTCACATATTGCAGCCACTATGTAAGAAAGTAAGTAGTACAGACATGTTAAGTAAGCAAAATCCAGTAGACTATGCTAAAAATAAAGTATCGTGTTGCATAATTACTCTTGCCTCTGTGGAGACAAGAATATTGACATAAAATAATGCAAATGCGTAGGATCTGAAAGATGAAGAAATAGAGACAGGCCTTCTTCAGTCCCTCCAGTAACTAAAGAGACATCGGGAACACAAAATGGCCCCTGTCTAGGTGACTTTCTGTTGCTATCATTTTTAGATTTCGTAGATTTTTCTTATTCTTATAAACTATGAGGGTTTTTGTTAGTTCAGATTTTAAGCATGGTATCTTAATATGGTTTCCAAGACACCTATACACACACGCACACACATACACACACACACACATACATACACACACACACACACACACACACACACACATGTTCTGCAAAGAAATGCCACATTTGGCCCAGCAGATGGTGTGATGGTTACGTCGCTGGACTCCCATGTAGTCAACCACAGTTTGAGTCCCAGACCTGGTGGCTTAAAATTCACGCCAGGCACATGTACATGCATACCCAAATCCCTAGAGGAGAATAGAGGAGAAGGGGTTGTGATGTGGCCATCCCCTTTGGTGAGTGATTTGCTTTCTGTTTCTCTGGCCAGTGCATGCACCCTGTAGCAAAAATCTCTCTAAAAAAAAAAAAAAGAAAGAAATACCACATTTATCTGGAAATCAGGCATCCTAGAATATTAACTATTTGAAACAGTTCTGCTGTATGTTTCAAATTGCTCTGGCAGAATCATGCCAGAAAGGCGTCCATGTGGCAGATACCAGGTAGAAAGTCTATGCAGAGGAAGGGGGCACACGCCCACCCAGAGAGCTGTGTGGAAACCACGGCACAGGAGCACCAAGGGAGGTACGAGCTGACAGTAGGAAAAGCATGAAATGACTAGAGCTCTTGGTGAGCCTTGCTTGAGGCTGGCGTCAGGAGCGATGCCGACCTGTGACATTCAGAAAAGGTTAAATCTCACTCCATTTACTCTGCTTCGGAAAATGGGAGTCTGTGCAGAATGCATTGAAAATGATAAAACTGCGGGACCAGCAGTTAGCGTAATGGCTATGTCGCTGAACTCCCATGAAGTCGACCACGGTTCACGTCCCAGACCCGGTGGCTTAAAACTCACACCAGGCGCGTGTGCGTGCGTGCCCAAGATCCCGAGAGGAGAATGGAGGAGAAGGGATTGCGGTGTGGCTATCTCCCCTGGGGGGTGATTTTTCGCTTTTTATCTCTATGTCTCTCTCTGTCTGGCGAGCGCACGTGCCCTATAGCAAAAACCTCTCCAAAAAAGAAAATGATAAAACCTAAGTTCAGGGCTACTGAGGTAGAGTTCTGGACATGGTTATGGAAGGGGGTGCTGCTTATATATTTTGATGTTACATTCATATATCCTATTTATATTGAAACACAAATAGCTAAACTCTGTAAGCTCTGCTTTGTATTTATTGCCAGAGACCAAGAGAAAGTGCCCACCTGAGAGAAAGAGAGAGAAATCTGCTTCCCCCCAACACAAGCCCCATGGGGTTTAGTCACACCACAATCCCCTTTCCTCCATTTCTCCATCCTGTCAGGATTCTGGGCAGGCGTGTTCCTGGCACTACATCCTGGATCGGGATTCAAACCTCAGTTAGCTATGTGGGAATCTGGCTCGTACGCAGGCCTTGGCCCGCTGTGCTGTGGAGCTGGTCTACTCTGCGAGTTTTCTCACTTAACTTCTCTAGGGTCTGGCTGCCTCGTCAGTCTGGCACTGAGTGCAAGGTCTGCCTCCCAGCAGCCACTCTGTGTATCGTTGAATGAATGAATCCATCATACCGTATGTCTGCAAGACATGTAACCTGCGTGTGCATGAAGACATCCGAGTTACAACTATCCCTTTTCTCTTTTTCAGAGCAGAAAGCACTTTCTCGGGACCATTCACAAACAAGAGACACCAAAGCCGTGACATATGCCAGTGCCACCGCCACCACCACCTCCTCTGCCTCCCCCTCCCCCGCCTCTGGGAGCTCCTCCCCCTCCTCCGCCATCGGCACCCCCGGTAAGACCTGTTGGTTCCGTTCTGGTTGATGGTGAGCATCAGCTCCTGGGATACACTTGAGCAGAAGGCTGTGAATGTTCGGAAGGGCAGGTGGCATCACAGGTGGCTGACTCTGGTGACCTCAGGGTCTGAATCCCAACCACCTTGACTCTCCCCCTTCTCTTGGCAGCTTCCACCTCTCCCTCCTGGATCTGGTGGTGTCTCCACCACTCCCCCTCTGATCCCTGTTGCTGGGTGCAGCTTCGAAGTCCCAGGAGACGTTCAGTCTCTGGACGCCCCGTGTGAGGGGCCAGGCCAAGGGGCACAGCCACGGGGCACTGCAGAGTCACGTTCCTGCGTGTGATCTGGATGGTGCTAGTGAGAATTTTGGCTTCTGTCCCCTGGTTCTGGGCTCCAGTAAGTTAAGTCATGTGGCCTGGCACAAGGAAATAGGAAGTCTCTAGATAATGTTTCCCTGTCTACCCGAGACCGAATTCAGTCTACGTCAGTTTGTGTGGCCAAGTGCTCTCTCCTGGTTGATAGACTTAGGAGGTGGGCCACAGAGTTGATCATTGTGTTTTAGAACAAGAATTGGTAACCTGAGAACCATGGATACTTGGTGGGGCTGGATAATTTTCTGTTATGGGAGGCTGTTCTGTACATTACAGGACATTTAACAGAATCACTGGCCTGCACCCACCAGATACCCGTAGCACCCCACAATTGTGGCAATAAAAAATGTTCCCAGACGAGCCAGCAGGTGATGTGGTAGTTAAGGCACTGGACTCCCATATGGTCGTTTAAGTCCCAGACCCCATAACTTGAAAATCATGCTGGGCACGTGACTATGCATGCCCCAAAGCCCAAGAGTAGAATGGAGGAGAAAAGGTTGGAGCAGCATAGCCACCTCTCTTGGTGGTGGTGGGAGGGTGTGCTTTCTCACTTTCCCTCTCACTGTCTCTCCCCTCTCCAGTGAGTGCATGCACCCTATGATAAAAACCTTAAAAAAAATAAATAAATAAAAGTAAAACGTTCCCAAATATTGCCAGCTATCCCTGGACGAAGGGGCAAAACCGCCCTTCCCAGCTCCCACAGTTTTAGAAGAATACTGGTGCTTAGTGCTTACAGAGAACCTTTCCTCTAAGAAAGACCCGGAATCGTCTTACACACTCTTCTCCATTCCTCGCACCACTTCGGGGAGTCTAGCACCGCTCTGCACTTTCTGTTCTCAGTGGAAGACGAGTAATGCGATGTGGCAGGCAGAGAGGCAGGGCTGCTGGGGGTGATCTGAGCCAAGTCAGCTGAAGCCAGGAATAGAGCCTCCTCCGCCACCCTCCCCTGAGCTGCACCCCGCTAGTTAGACATGGCCGTGGAAAGGATGAAGGAGAGCCCGAGGCTCCTGCTGCAGAACTGCAGAGGGCAGGCACAGGAGAGATGCCAGAGATGTCTCCCCGTGATACTTCCTGTGCACACTGATCACCTCCAGAGTGCCAGTGGGCTAGACCTGCCTGAAACTTGGCCCTTGCCCTCCATGAGAGTGGAGAGAAATCACGTAGTATGATCGCACGGAGAGCTTTTTTTTTTCTTTTTTTTAGAGGATTTTGCTATAGGATGCATGCGCTCGCCAGAGAGAGACAGAGAGACAGAAAGTGAGAAATCACCCCCCGGAGGGATGGCCACACTGCAATCCCTTCTCCTCCATTCTCCTCTTGGGATCTTGGGCATGCACGCACACATGCCCGGCATGAGTTTAAGCCGCCAGGTCTGGGACTCGAACTGTGGTCGACTACATGAGAGTTCAGCAACATAGCCATTATGCTAACTGCTGGTCCCACACAGAGAGCTTTCTAACCAATATACACAGAGAACAGGTGTGCGCATTGACGCCTCCCTGCTGAATTGGATCCCACAACATCGAAGTCAAGGTCATCAGCACAGTGATGGACAGCCTGCATGTGAAGGAGACGTACCAAGCTATCACGTGGGTCTTACACAGACCTCTGAGGAAGCACACCTCATAACAGCTTCTAACACCATGAAATGCTCGAAAATTGAGCCATTGTAAATAAGAAGGCATTTAGGGAAATAATCCCTTTTAAACATTGTTAGTGAAACACAAATATCTGGAACCCAAAAAATATTGAGCAGGTCCCTCTGACGTGTTTTTTGGCAGGAAACAATACACCTGTATATATCATAGTTTTCCCGCCAGTAATTGGGTAGTTTTATTTTCGAGACTGATTTAAGAATCTAAGCGTAAAAGCCAGCCAGGTGGCATAGTGTTAAGGCAACTGAATTCCACATGACTGACTACGTGGTTCAAGTCCCAGATCCGACAGCTTGAAAAGCACGTGGGGCACATGTGTCTGTGTGCCTAAAATCCTGAGAAGAGAAGGGAGGAAAAGGGATTGCAGTGTGGTCATACCCCTTGGGGGTGCCTTCTCTCTCTGTCTCTACCCCCAGCAAGCACATGCATCCTACAGCAAATTGAAAAACAAAAACAAAACAACAAGAGAACGAACAAAAAAGAATCTAACCTTAATGGAGCCAAAAAGAATGTATACAAGAGCGTTCATAGCATTATTATTTATTCTAGTAAAAAAAATAGGTCTTAAGTGGTTTATGAGAACTAAATGAAATGTATTATGGCATGCTGTTAATTAAAACTTGCATTATGCCATGGTGGTAATTAAAAATTATGTCTATGCTACTTATAGCAAAGTAGATATAAAATGATGGGTTAGAAACAACATACATTTGGGGCCAGCCTATTGCCTGGACGTTAAGGCAGGTGGATCCCACATGGCTAACCTTGCAGTTTGAATCTTGGACTCTCAGCCTTGAAAAACACTCTGGGGGTGAGAGAGAGAGAGAGAGGTGTGCACACATGTGCTCGCCCCAAATCCCGAGAAATAGAAAAGAAGGAATTGCAGTGTGACTATGCGCCATGGGAGGTGCTTTTCTCTCTCATCTTTCTCTTTCTAGCAAGTACACACACCCTCAGGCAAACTAAAACGTAGACACACACATACACAAACACACACAGACACACACATTTTGTGTGTAATGAAACCAGCTATGTAATACATGAAATAAATAGCAAAGATCAGTGTGATTGCCCAGTAAAATTCAATATTTCATTGGCAAATACTTTTTCTTCGAAGATATTTAAATTGATAATAAAAATAATTCTATTTGGTTGATTTTTCTTTTTGCATTCCCTCCTCCCTCATTTCTTTTTTATTTTGTTTTGTTTTATCACCTATCTCAACAGGTCAATTTAGGAAGACAATAACCATGTAATTAAAAAAAATGTATTGCTAGATGGAGTGTGGACTTAGTATGGAGAGAGAGAGAGAACCTCCAATGGGGCGTGGTCATACTGCAGTCATTTTTCCTCATTTCTCCATCCTTTCGGGATTCAGGGCATATACACATGTGCTCAGCATGCTTTTCAAACCTCTGGGGCTGGAATTTGAACTGCAGTTGGCCACATGGAAGCCAGGCTTCCCAATGCGCTGTGCTTAACCGCTCCACCATGGGACTGGCCCTTTATATCTTTTAAAAATATATTTTCCAACAGTCTCGGGAAAATATTTACAATGCATATTAAAGGCCAAGAATGAATGTGATACAGTGTAAAGATTTTGTACAGATCAATACAGAAAAGAGGAATAGAAAACAAGCACAAGAGGGCCCAGCAGTTGGCATAATGGCTATGTCGCTGGACTCCCATGTAGTTGACCGTGGTTTGAGTCCCAAACCTAGTAGCTTAAACTCACACTGGTCATGTGTGCATGCGTGTCCAGGATCCTGAGAGGAGAATGGAGAAGGGATTGCAGCGTGGCCATCCCCCCTGGGGGGTGATTTCTTGCTTTCTGTCTCTCTGTCTCTCTCTGTCTGTCTGGCAAGCACACATGCCCTGTAACAAAAACCTCTGAAAAAGAAAAAAGAAAATTAGCACAAGATATGACCAGGTAAAAGAAATACAAATGTTTTGGGACCCAAGTCCCCCTTCGGTGGGTGATTTCTTGTGTCTGTCTCTGTCTGTCTCTCTGCTGGGCACACACACGCACACCCTATATCAAGAAATATCTAATATACATACATAACTATATATATATACATATACACACACACATATATATATATACAGGTGTTTCAATCTCGCTACAGTTGAATACATGAATACACAGAAATTAAAACAGTGAGAAACTATTTTCATCTATTAGTTTGCTGAAAAATTTTCATGGTAATCCCTTTAGATAGAAAATTTTAAAAAGTTTCTTTAAGTAGCTGATCATAGATGCTCAGGAATATAAAACTATCGGATATGAATTAAAGAGTACTTGTAAAAGCAACCAAAAAAGAAAGAAAAGAAACAACTTAAGTTTTTAATACTGGGAGATTGAATAAATAATTGCATGATCCACGAAATGGCCTAGTAGGCAGCCATTAAAAGTCATATCGAGATTGTTTTGTGATGCCCCGTGTAAAGATTGATTCCGGCAAGGATCAGCATGAAAGTAAAGCCGCAGAGAGAAAGGCAGGTGGGGAGAAGGACGTTCTCAGGGTCCCAGGTGTCACTCACAGAGTACTTCTAATTGCAAAGGGGAAATGTGCTTTTACAGTGGATCACACTTAGTGGGGACTAGACGGTGGTGTAGCAGTAGCTCAATGCTCTGTGAGGCTGACCCAATTATGAAGGTTCCAGATTCGTGTCCAGAGACCTCCCCACACACACCGGGCACACGCATGCCCATCCATGGTCTGGGGCTGGCGGCAGCTAATGTGGATCGTGGCACATGGACCTTGACAGGGGTACCTCTCTCTCTCTCTCTTTCTCTACCTCTCCTGGGAAAAATAAATAAGTAAATTTTTTATGATTTTTTTTGGTCATAAGGCATATTTGCTCACCAGAGAGAGTTAGATTGAGACAGTCAGAGGGAAAGTGAGAAATCGCCCCCCAAGGGAGGATGGCCACACCTCACTTCCTTCTCCTCCATTCTCCTCTGAGGATT